GTTCACTTTTACATATATATATATATATATATATATATATACATACATACATACACACACACACACACACATATATATATATATATAATATTTTTTGTTTAAAAATATGATTCCTTCGCTACATAAGTGTTCTCATGTTTCAAAAACGAGAGCCGAAACCATCCAAATAATTATTAAAATTAAGTTGAATTGAGGTGTTTAGTCCCGTTTCATCTTCAAGCGAAATTTTAGGAATAAGCTATCTCTCGGTTTACGTGTGTTTTTAGGCATGGTCCGTTACAAAATTCGTTATTGTGGCAGTGGCTAAACTATTTTCCTTCGTTAAGTGGTCAGAGAGTTAATTCTTATCAATAGATTCATCATCTTCTGAGAGATTTTGCTACGGTTGGGTAGGGTATCTATTTCAAGGCTAATGTTTGCGGTCACCCTTTAGTTGGTTCCCAGTGAGGGATATTTTTATGGTGCGCCTACAAGTCGTTATGTGTCGGGAGGATTGCGTTTTATTATTGTCCATCTGATTATCTATTTATTTATTTGTTTATTCAAGTGGGTGTTTTATATACAAACCGTATTGCACTGGATTTCAATTTGTTTTTTGTTTTTTGACGACTACAGAAAGGGTTTTTCCTATTTAATGATTTAGCTAAGCTTTTAAGACTTTTATTTAGCTATAGTTGTATGGGACTAAACACCTCAATTCAACTTAATTTTAATAATTATTTGGATAGTTTCGGCTCTCGTTTTTTGAAACATGAGAACTCTTATGTAGCGAAGGAATCATATTTTTAAACAAAAAAATATTATTATAATAAAGCTCTACTTCTGTATGGAACACTGTCTTCTTAAAAATAAAAAAACAAAAATACTAAGGAACTCCGGATTATGCACCCAACGTGTTCTTTTTCTATTTTCTGCATACCTGCGCTTATACATATATATTATATATATATATATATATATATATATATATATATATATATATATATATTATATTGTTGATATAATATAGGTAGCTCAAAAAAAAAAAAAAATAATAATACCTAAGTTTTAAAACGAATTTTTTTTAAAAAAAATGAAAAATCTTTCTTGGATCTTTTATTTTATTTTTAGTTTCAAGCTAATAGATTAAACTTAATATTTCCAATAAACGAAATAACTTTGCTATATTTCAAAAAGTAATTTAAATTGACAGGAAGGTGTTTTTTGTTGGTTTTTGCTAAAATATCACATTAGTTTCATCGCAATGTAATTCTCTTTATTAAAAATCTTTCAAAAATAAAATGTACTTTTCTGAAACTTTATTTGAGAATATTCTTTTTCTTTTTATGTTCCGTGTCCTTTCATGTCGTAGGCAATCATGGCTCTCCACTTCCCCCTATCCCTTGTAGCTCTCAATAAGTTTCGCCCCTCTGCCACCTCCCCTAGACCACGTTCTGTCATCCACTTGCTTAAGCCCGCCAGCTATATCATGCGATGCTTTCCCTTGTCACTCTTTCCCTCTATTCGACCCATGAGTATCAGATTCTCCAGGCCCTGCTTTCTCAGAAATTTCATCTACCTCTTCCTTGTGTTAAGTATAAGCTACCTCCTTGTTTGCATTCTCTCCAAGACCTCATCGTTGCTCACACGCTCGGTCCATGATATCCTCAGCATCCTTCTGTAGAACCGCCGTCGCCTCGAGTCTCTTCTTCATTTTTGAGGAGACCGTCCAGCGTTCGCTGCCGTAAAGGAGGACAGATGTCACGTAACAGCTCAGTACTCTTTTCTTTTTTTACCAAAGAGATCCTCCTGTCTCGCAATACTCTGTCAAGCTTTTGGAATGCGTCCATCCTTGGCCATCCCAATACGTCTACGGATCTCAATGTCACACTTGCCGTCCTCTGTCAAAAATCTTCCCAGATATTTAATCTTCCGCGTCTGCTTGATTTTAGTGTCCCCGAACTGTAAATCGCATTTCAGGCTCATCCTTTTACCAATGACCAGGCATTCTGTCTTCTTGTAGTTTATGCTTAGTCCCTTCTTCTCACTCTCCGCCGCTACTTTCTGTAAAGTACAATTAATCTGATTCGAAACAAATATTATTTACTTAAATATTTACTTAGTTTAAAATATGTCAGAAATACATTTTTTAACCAGACAGTAGCTGTTTATTTAAAGCGTTCTCCAGCTTATCTAATGTTCTATGGGGGGCTTTAGGCGTTAAAAAAGTAAATGAATTAAAGTGAGCGCCTTTTATACATAATTTTTAAGTACTCGGTAATCGTAAAATTTTAAGAAAATATTCTCCGTAATATAATTTTTTACTGAATTTTAAATATTTTTAGCTCTAAATTTACTATAGTCATCGCTGTTATTCTCTGATAATGTCGCGTATGGTCGACCGTATATAGAAAATCGACACGTTTATAAACATTAAAAAAATTAAATATTCTTTTAAAAATATTGGGGTGTGATGATTTGTACTAAGCTTTTTATTTTATGATTAATAAATAAAATTTTCACTTAATTTATCCCTTTTAGATGATATTCTTATTAAGATTTAAAAATATTTCAAACTTAATAAGTTATTCTAATTAAAACGTAAAACAAAAATGAAAATAAATCTTATAAAAATTCATTATTCATCGAAAAAATTTTATTCTTAAGACAATAGTGCGTTTTATATATTTTATTAGTAAAAGCAATTAAAAGTGTTTTTCTAATTAAATGTTTTAACCATATTTCATTTTTTTATTTCACGATCCAGAGCAGGTTTTCAATAAATGAGTAACTGTTTAAAAAAATATATATATATATATATTATATTCTCCAAGAAGTTTTACTTTTAAAATATGAAGAGGGACAAAATTTAATTGCTAAAAATTTAATTAATTAAGGTAGAGTAACAGATGCCCAAAAAATATTTCTACCAAGATTTTCTAAAAGAAAGATTTCTCAAATACGTTCATTCATTTGTGAAAAAAAGTCCTGAAAGTTTCATTAAAATCCGACAATTATTCGATTTTTGAAAGAATTTCTAAATCAATGTCTTTTACTGAAAAAAAAACGCTAAAATGTTCTATACTAATCTTTGCTGCCCCGGTTGATGCAAGAAAAACAAAAAAATTTTGAAAATTTCGAACGTGCTAGAAAGAATTTTAAAAAATTGATAGAAATAATTTGGTCTTTCCTCTCAATAATAACATAAATATTTTGACGACAAAACATGGTTGTCATCAAGTTTGTGGCCTTTTTCAACATGCTATGCACTTTTTTCAGAGAATTATTTAAGGTGCGTAATATTATAGTTTACTTCCCACTTTTACATCGTTTAGACAATTATCACCATCACCTAAACATTAACTTTTAATCAGAATCATATACAGTTTATTCCCTGATAATCCCATTCACTTCTTACTCTCATCAAACCCCACACCAACCACAGCATTTCATCTCGCGCGAGGAGAGTGGTTACTAGGATGGAAAATAAGCTCTATCTGGGGGTGGAAAAACTCTTAATGAGTTATCTAGAGATGGTGTCTCAATAAAAATAAAAAAAAAAAAACAGTGGAGAACGCAACGGGAAATGACACTACATATCCCAAGAACAAAGGTGACAACAAACAATACAAATATTACAGATAACGGTGTGAAGGGAGTTAAATGCACTGGAGACAACAACTCATCAGGTAACAGAAAACACGTGCGACGGATGTCATCTGACCGTCATTCAGTTTGTATTCGCGAAAAGAATGATATGTCCTGAAAAGGGATATATTTGTTCGAAGTGGTTTTGGACTACTGTAACCGAGAAGGACAATCTAGCAGGTAAGCGTAATGGACTGGTCCTCGTCGTAATGGTAGACAATAGGCGTAGGCAATAGACGAAGACTATAGACGTAGCCCATAGGCGTTCTCTTGTACCTTCACATCAGTCTGTATTTATGGCTGACACCAGCCAATCATATTACGGGGGTGTGGACCAGGTGTATGCATATTCCTTACATCAAAGAATAAAGACGTAACGGTGGAGTGAAGTTCCTCTTGAACGACTTCTCACCTGATAAGGATAAACCTGAGAACGACAATTAAGAAATGGTTCCACACTCCTGAAAACCTCCAATTTCCCGATCAGAGACCTTGCTGCCAGATGTAGTTTATCTGCATACCCAGAACTACCATCTCTAATGATAGTCATTTCTCTATAAGGAAGCATTCGGCATTCATTGACCCAGCAGCCAGTACTACTCGAGTTACATTTTTCTTTACTTCTGGGATCAAAGTGTAGTATCTGTTTATCCCATCTCTAATAGTATCCGTTTCCTTATAAGGAAACATTCGACATTCAGACAGACAGTGAAATTTATAAAATCTTTTTATTAAAACAATGTTTCAGGACACTGGATTATTCTCGTCTAATAATTGTTGTTACTCTTTCCAATACTGACGCTGGCTTCCTTCCTAACCATTTTGTTTGAAATCGTGTGGAATGTTAACATCTTGATTGCGCCATTTTTCTCTTCGATTTATATGTACTTGTTATTTTAATTGTTGCCGTTGTTGTGAGTCCTCAAGTGATGTGGTTTCTGTTATTTTGTTATCTAGAGTAAAGAATTCTCAGCCTTTGCTACACGCTCGCCACACCGAATTTCTTTAGAAATAAACGGATATCATTGAACAATTCATTCATTTATTTTCCGGTATTTTTGAACTGAAAACTTCTGCTCTGACGCATGCTCTCTCATGCTACAAACGTGTACAGGAATTGCATTTTGTGCTCAGTTGTAAGGAACGAGTGTTGTGTTATCCTCTCTTTATTCATCTGCGTTCTAAACGAGCAGCCATCTTGTTGGCATCAGTTAAAGCCTGCGAAATGGCAAAGCGTTAGAATGAATTCCCTTTCGCTGCTTATTTTCGAGGCCCAAAAGGAAAATAAATGTGATCGATTTGTAACGTATCGATTTTATTTTTACTCAACATCTTCGCCTTTTGCCGGTCAGCGCGTATCCGTTTAGGAATAAATGTCTCTCCAGATAAAACCACTAACTTGCATTTCGTCTCTTTTTGTTTGCTCGTCTCTCTCTCTCTCTCTCTCTCTCTCTCTCTTGTTTCTTTCTTTCTCCCTCTCTTTCTTACTCTCTCCCTTTCTGTGCCTGCTTCTTTCTTATCGACTTGACTATATTTCATTACTCTCTTTCTCTCTCTACTTCCATTTCTCTCTTTCTCTATCGGTAGCTCTTTCTTTCTTTCTTTCTTTCTTTCTTTCTTTCTTTCTTTCTCACGGCTTGTTTCGATATTCTTGTTTCTTTTTTGCCTCTTTCTCTCTTACTCTTCCCCTTTCTCTATCTGTTTCTCTCATATGGTTTGCCTATCCAACTATTTTTCATTACTCTCTCTTTCTCACTCCGGCTGTTTTTTCTTTTCGCCCTCTCTTACACACTCCCTTTCTGTATTTGTTTCTCGCATTCTTATTCTTTATTTTTTAACTATCTTTCATTACACACGTTCTCTCTCTCTCTCTCTCTCTCTTTCTCTCTCTCTCTCTCTTCCTCTCTCTATCTCTCTCTCTCTCTCGATCTCTCTGATACTCTCTTTCTCTATAGCTAGTTCTTTCATTCTTTATCACGTGTTGTTTCTATATTCTTGTTTTTCTCTCTCGCTTTATTTCTTCCTCTCTCTCTCTCTCTTTCTTTCTCTCTCTGTCTCTCTCTAGCTCTAGCTCTTTCTTTCTCACGTGTTGTTACTATATTCGTGTTTCTTTCTTTCTCAGTCTCTTTCTCTCTCTCTCTCTCTCTCTCTATCTATCTATCTCTCCCTCTCTCCCTCTCTGACTCTCTCTTTCTTTCGGTGTCTGTTTCTCTCTTATTGTTTTCTATTTGACTATTTTCATTACTTTTTCTCTCCCCCTCTCTATAGCTCTTTCTTTCTTTGTTTCTTTCTTTTCTTTCTTTCTTTGTCTCTTTCTTTTTTTCTTTCTTTTTTGTTCTTTCTTTCTCACGTGTTGTTTCTATGTTATTCTTTTTCTTTTTCACTATCTCTCTCACTTTCTTTTGGTGCCTGTTTCTCTTGTTCTTTTTTTTTATTATTTTTGATTATTTTTATTTCTCTCTCTCTCTCTCTCTCTCTCTCTCTTCCGCGCGCGCGCACTAGCTCTTTCTTTCTCGCAGCTTGTTTCAATGTTTTTCTTTCTTTCTTTTTTTCTCCCTCTTTCCCTTTCTATCTCTCTCCCCCACCCACTTATTTATTTTCTGTTGGGCTATTTTTACCTCTCTTTTCTCTCTCTCTCTCTCTCTCTCTCTCTCTCAAGATGCATTTTGTTAGTTTAATCAAAGCACCATATCACTATGTAAGAATCCAGATGCATCACTATTCAATTTACGTCAGTTAGTGTTTACTTGAGCTAAGTCCGACACATGGCAACAAATGTGGGGAGCTCAATAAGGCTCGAACTCATTACGGGCTTTCTTTTGCTACCTTATGTAGTTTTCCTTCTGTGTCTGCCATCAGTACAGTGTCACCCGCGTATCTTATGCTTAACGTTATGGCTGCCAATAATAAATCCCGATAGGACTTCTAGATCTCTTTGAAATGTCGCTTTGTATAGATTAAATAAATTCGGTAAGAAAACACGCACTTGCCTACTCTTCGTTCTACTTTTTCTTCTTGCTTAATTCGTTTCTTATACGCATACAGTTGATTTTTTTCTTGAGACTACAGTTCACCAATACAAGGCCTTAGAGTCACTTAAGGCAGAGGAGATAGAAGGAAAGGAAGACTATCAGGATAAGGAAGATAAATAGCGATTGAACCTTGACTAAAAACGTTAGCATTATAGTGTTCAGGGAAGCATTCACAGTTGTAGTTCTCGAGGCAAAGCTGAGTGGAACTTCCTGCTTAGGAATGGAATACAGAGGAAATGTGGCTGATTTGAGTCCGTGGATGTAACATGGGTAGTCTTATCTGTAAAGGTCTGAACTGGTGGAACTAAAGAGTGGAGCTCATCGGAACACCTGTGATGGAGACAGTCATAGGCCGGAAAGTGAAGACTGAGTATCTCCAGCCTGAACATGACAGAAATACACTTTTTAGGGGTCAGATACATTGAAACTACCTTTTTCCTGCATCTTTAGCCTGGCATCTTATATATGTGTTCCATTTGAAGTCTTGAAGTCTAGAACATATGTGAAACAATGGACTTTCAAAGGAAATAGACTCATTGAGGCTATAACTATTCATTGTGACTAAAATAGGCTCAGAATTCAATTAATGATGAAATGCTACCAGCTTGGGTTTAGAAGTGTTGAAAGTTACAAGCTTGCTTTCTTTCCCTACTAAACTCTTAGGGCTTAGGTCAGCGGATATTTTAGCTGCAAGACTATGGACATCTTGATTTTTGAATGTGCTTTCGTAAACTGTGGAATTATCAGCGTATATATATATATAGATATAGATCGTTAATGATTTGTTCCTATTAAATGTAAATTAGCCCAAGTTTTTTCTTATATAAGTCGACCTTAACACATAGTTAATTAGTTTTCGTGTTGTATCTTTGTGGTAGGTAACGCAACAACTCAACTGATGATAGCAGGTAGGAACAAAGAAACCGGTGTCGGACGTCCAACCTTCTCACGAGCCGAAAGCTCTCTCATTCGAAACAGCAAAACGAGCCTGCTTTATACAGCCGCGGACCGACCACGATTTGCATGCGAATGACGAGACAACGAGATTTAGCGTTAACTAACCGAGACCGCCCGGCATAAAATATGGGCGCCGCCATTTTGGTTGTTTTGCCGTTGGAAGGACCAGAGTTTGCACACTGCACAGATTCGAACGCGTTTCCGAGGTAAGCCATTTTCACAATTTTCCCCACAATCTTATCAAATGGTTTTGCGTAATCTCCAACAGTGACATTTCATCATAGCTGATCGGACACAGAACGCGATGAACGTATGTTCCCTCTGGGAGACCCCGTGCCTTGAGCGCCTATTTGGACTCAACCCAGACCTCAAGGAAAACATACGATCCATCGCTAAAGATACCGGAAAATGGTCGATTCCCTGTACCGCTCCAGTAAGTACCTGACTCCTTCTGCTATCCTCTGTCTTTACAAGAGCCAGATCAGACCCAAAAAGGAGTACCGTTGCCATATATGGACAGGAGATGCCTAGTTTTTACTTTACATTAGACAGAGTCCAAAAGCGTCCCCGCATCCTTGTGAGTGACAAATTATTTTCCATCCTACAACCCCGTTCCTCACAGACGAAACGTCGTAAACTTCACGCTGCTCAATCGCTATTTTCATAGGAAGTGTTCAACCCGGTTCTAACCTTCATGGCTAAAACCTGCCATTCCACGTACATTGTAACAAACCACACTAATTCCTTTCCTATTCCATCGGTGAGATGTAAGTTCCACTCGAGCAGCTTCTTCCCACGAACTTCTGCTCTGTGGAACCGACTTCCAAGAGATGGCTTCCCCGATCACTACAATTTTAACCTGTTCAAGTCTAGGGTGAACCGTTATCTTCCACACATATCTGCATAAACTATGCCTCTTTATCTGTAACCACCTACCTCGAGCGGCTCTTAGACCTACAGCCTACAGAGTTGTTGTGGTACGATCCACCTAATTTACATAGTGGAGTACCGACCATATAAATATGGGTTGGTACCGGGAAGACGATGGAGGAAGTAAGAAGAGATCCAATCCAGAGACTCTGCCCGACTGCGATTAAGTCAACCCATTCTACAGGAACAGTCTTCCCAAGAATATACCAAAACTAACTGTAAATATTGTGTACCTTTTCCTTGTTTCAATACATTTTGTTTACGTACATTTTGTGTTGTATTATTATTATTCCATGCTTATCCAAGCTTCAACAAGAGTGAAAATAAAAACATAATTATAGTTTTGTTTTTTTGTTTTGTTTTTTTTTCATTTCTGTTGCTCGGTCTAGTAGAATTCTTATCATGAAGATAGCATTTATCTATCAAGTATATTGAAAAAAGTTGAGTTTTTCGTGTCCTGTTTCTGTTTACGTCTGCTGTGATCACTTGTTAATAGGATTCAAATTTGTCACATATTTTATAAAGCTGATTGTCCGATAGAGTTCCTATTCAATTGCACCTGGCTTCTTTGGTATCGCTTATTGTAACCTTAACGTTATATTTTTTTATGTTTCATACCACTTTCAGGACGTTGGCGATCATGTCTCTCCACAATTACCTGTCCTTTAGCTCTTTCTAAAGTTTATCTTTTTTTGCAAACCCTGTCCTGCCAAATATTGACACAAACACGTTAAGTAGGTTATGCGCTGTTTTCTTCTGTCCCTCTTGCCTTCAATATGTTCTGTGAGTGTCAAATTTTCCAAGTCCTTTTTCCTCATAATGTTCCCTAGATATTTCAACTGTCACTTTCTGATGTTAATTATACGTGTCCTTTTTGTTTAGTATTTTCTGTAAACCCTCGTCGCTGTTTACATGTCTACTCCATTGTATTCTCAGCATCCTTCGGTAGATTTACATTTCTGTTATCTCAAGTCCCTCCTTGAGATTGCCCAGCATTCACTACTTTATAGGAGGACTGATATTACATAACTGTTCACTATTCTTGTCTTTGTTTCTAATAAAATATTCCTTTTTCTTAATATTTTGTTTATTTTGTATCTCAGTACACTTTCCGATTTCAGTGTCACAATTTGCATCCTCTGCTAAAACACTTCCTAGAAATTGAAAAAACTCGACTGAAATTCGAACTCGATACACCGAATTCTTATTTCGAGCTGCTATCCCTTACACCACCCGCGCATCCGAAAATCAAAACAAAAACCAAAGCGAAAAAAAAAACAAAAAATATACTCCACAATTTCTGTCCTTTATAGCTCTTGGCTTTTATCATTCCTCCCACTCCCTGTTCTGACATTCATTTACACAATCCCATTAGGTAGATTATTCGCTATAACTCCCCCCCCCATCGCTTTTGGCTTTGATTCTGTGAGCGTCACATTCACCGAGCTGCCTCTCCTCATTATGCGATTTAAAAATTTCAACTGTCTCTTTCTAAATATAAGTATAAGCGTCCTTTTTCCCATTTTTTAAAACTTTCTCATTGCACACATGCTCTGTTCGGGATATTCTCAGTATCCTTCTGCAGAATCACATCTCTGTTACCTCAAGTCTCTTCTTCATCTGTAAGGAGATTGTCCAGCATTCTCTGTCATATAGGAGGACTAATATTACATGACAGTTCAGTACATTTTTCTTTGTTTCTGTTGCTTCAAATCTCTTCTTCATCTGTGAGGTGATTGTTCAGCATTCACTGACATGTTATATAACATTTCAATGCTCTTTTCTTTGTTTCAAAGTTTCTACAATAATAGTTTGCTTATTTTTGAAAGACATTTTTCGATATCCCCATTTACCTTCGGATTTCGATGGTGCACTTTCCATCCAATGTTAAAACACTTCCCATATACTTAAATTCTTTTACTTGCTTGATTTTAGTATCCACAATTGGTTCCTTTTGCTGACTACCATTCAGTATGTCTTCTTGCAATTGATGTATAGTCCCTTCTTCTCGCTATCCTTCATTACCACTCTAGTTTCCATTTTGTGACTGATATCAACACTATATCATTTGCATATCTTATGTTGTTAAGATTGTGGCCAACAATAAAGAATGCTAGTAGAACTTTTAATTCTCTCAGTATCATTCCACTTTAAAGGTTGAATAAATCTGGTGAGAAGACACATCTTGGTTTTATATTCCTTTCTGTTTTTTAATATATAGTGAATTTATTTTCTACCCATATGCAGGCAGTTTGCTGTCAATATAGGTTCTGGGTTATTCTAATATCCTTCCCAATTAGTCAAGTTTACCTAGGGCTTCCAACAATTCTTATTCTTATTGCAATATCCTTCCCAAATATGCCAAGGTTAACTAGGGCTTCCTACAATTATTATTCTTATTCTAATATCCTTCCCAAATATGCCAAGTTTACCTAGGGCTTCCTACAATTGCTATTCTTATTCTAATATCCTTCCCAAATATGTCAAGGTTACATAGGGCTTCCTACAATTCTTATTAATATCATAATATCCTTCCCAAATATGGCAAGGTTCCCTAGAGTTTCCTATATTTCTTATTCTTATTCTAATATCCTTCCAAAATATGCCAAGGTTACATAGGACTTCCTAAAATTTTTATTCTTATTCTAATAGCCTTCCCAAATATGCCAAGTTTACCTAGGGCACCCTACAATTCTTATTCTTATTCTAATGTCCTTCCCAAATATGCCAAGATTAGCTAGGGCTTCCTACAATTCTTATTCCAAAACCCTTCCCAAATATGCCAAGGTTACTTAGGGCTTCCTACAATTCTTATTCTTTT